CGCAACCTCGTCTGGATTGCCGAGTGTGTCACACAGAGACAGAAGTCCAAGATTCACAACTACATACCCATCTTTCAGGGTACAAATTAACCGTGAAGACAAATAAGGAATACGTGTGGCGAAAAAGTACAATGTTTACAGGTATATTTGTTATAAAAAATGCAGAATATCAAACTGTATGTAACATTTCATGACATTATTTGCTGGTAAAACGGGGTCAGTATTCCCTCCGACTATTTGCTACGGTTAGTGAGTGCAGATGTATTTATAGGCCATATAATTATTAAGAGACTACATAAAAAGAAACCTCTGAAACTCCACGTAGAACACCCAGTGGTATCATGGTGTTTTAGCAGCTAAACCCCTCATTTGGTTTTTAGAAGCGTGTCCATACTTTATACCTTCACTGAAACAAAAAAAACAAAAACAAATACACAAGAAGTTAGAAACACAATTGTTTTTTTTCCTCTTTAACTACAAGAAGACACATCTGCACATGATCATGATACACTATTAAACATTAGGCCTAATGTCTGAGGTGAGAGATATGAGGCCCCCCGACTCATCTCCTCCAGTTACATGTTCATGACACCCCAGGGTCTGTGGTCAGGGGCGGGCTGGGGTTGAAATTCAGCCCTTTGGGAAGAGAGGCCTTTTATCTGATTGCACCGCGGACGCCAAGTGGAACCTTCGTCTTATGCACACGCTCAGAAAGCCACTGACATCACTGCAGGAGAGCTGCCCACATCCAACACCAATACACTACATGCTTAGTCTGGGAGTGTTCACGCGGCCTGGCCACGTGTCAAGACCATCAGTTGGTTTGGCCAAAAACAGACTGGCCGTTCAGAACCCAAGCCCAATATTGTATGTTATGAGTAGGGCTCATGTGAAATCTGACTTTTCCTGGAAGGTTAGCGAGTGACGTCCTTTGACCTGTTCACAGTTGATTAGTTATCTGAGCTTCAGTAGTGAAATAGGGAAATTGTGAGTTGATTTGACCAAAATCGATGTGAAGCTAAAGAAGCAGTTACTGATAAAAAAATATGCACTGCTTTCGATATCAATAGTTCATGCCATTTGTTAGCCAAATGTGTTAAATACGGGCCAGTTTCGGGCCTTAAATATTCTTCCTTCTAAACATCTAATAAAATGCGTGAGAAAGCACTTTTCAGTTGCAGTTGTTTGTTGATTACGGAACACATCTGTGACAGCAGGTTGCAATGATGCCATGGGAACAGTTTCATGCTGTGTTACTAATGGGATCTATGGGACTACATTTACATACTACACCTATATATTCCATGTGTATTCATACTGTACTTTTTTTTTTGCTGCTTGGACTAAACAAGACAACAAGACTAAATTACAGCCTCCATTGAAAATTAAGCATCCACTGCCACAAACATGTATTTAACTACTCTCATCTGAATATATTCTCCCTCACTCTGCCCACAGCATCAGTCTTAGCTTTAATAAACACAAGCACAGATGTTTTGGACTCCATGAATGTAGCTCCAGACACGTTTTAAGTTTTAACAACTAAATTAAATGCAGCGTAAAAATCACTGCCACTGCCCCCTCTCCCTCTTTGTCTTCAATCCACATTTCTCCTCCAGCCCCAATTTTTGCAAGTTGTGTCTCATCATATGCACATCTTGGTTGGATTAGTGTCAGACTTACAGCACTGAGGGGGGGCGTCCAGCGGGATGTAATTCTGCATGCAGAGATGAACGAACGCTGATGCCAGGAGACATGGGGCCTGAGAAGAGCTGGACTCACAGACTGTTAAGAACTGAGCAGGATCCACCTGTGGAAACAGACACACGGCTGAAAATATGCAAACCTGACACTGAACATTTGTCTTACAGCTGGTCATATTTGTTTAGTTCTGACAGTGTGTATATATTTAGTTTAGTTATTTTATCTTGGAGAAATGTTATATATATATATCGTTTCTGTACATATATCTATCTATCCATCCATTATCTACTGCTTATTCCTTTTCACAGTCACCTGGAGAAGCTGGAGCCAATCGCTGCAATCTACCTATGGTCAATTCAGAGTGACCGATCAAACTCCATACAGAAAAAAAGCTACCAAGCTACAACTGTTTGTTCCGTGTGCGTCATTCGTCCCTGGGGAGAGCGCTATGGTAAATGTTAGCTGTTGAGTTTGTTTTCTCACCACTCTGAAGCAGGAACTGAGCGGAGACTCTGGAGAGGAGAACAGAGATTCGCAGCTCACAGGACTGGTCACAGTTGCAGCGGGCGTTTTAAAGCATTTGCGTTTTATCTAAAAGGGAAACAAAGATTGAATTGTGCCGATGTTTGTCACGTGTGCGTGAAGATTTAGAAAGTGTGTGAAACTCCATCCTACCTGCCAGCTGTTAAAGAAATTCTCAACATTTTCAGCTTGGGATCCATTAGGTAATGGAAAATCATTTCCTGCCTCATTGTCATTGCTTCCAAACACACCTGTGGATGTTCCTGGTGGAGAAATAAAAATTTTTTATGCGTCTTTACATAAGGATATATATTTTTTTCCTTAAATAAATGAGATTACCATGTAGCCACCCATCCAGAGTAAAGCTGCACAACTGCTGCAAATGATCACATGACACTGACACTCCATTGGGATTTGACACTTGCACAGTGTGTGGCGCTATTTTGACAGACACTCCACTTTCAGAGTAGAACGTGTGCGCTACGGATCTGTTGCACTGGTCCCTCACCTGAAACACCACCACTGTCAAAGGTGCAGCTGTGGACCAAGTAAAGAAGCACTTGACTGCAGTCAGTCTCTGACATCAGTGCACATACCTGTCCATTCTGTAGAATGTTAAAGGTGCTGTTATTCATTTCTACCAGCAGGAGTTCTGGGGAACCTGAACTGAGCAGCACCGTGAAGGATGGTTCAGCGCTGGCGTCCTGGGCCAGGACCAACGGGCATGAAGAAGGCAACTCGTACAGGTGGCCGTCAAAGGTTACTACAAACTGATCTGACACCAGCAGAGCTTGGTCTACATTAGGAAAAAAAAAACAAAGAAAAAACGAAGAGCCGTGTTTAAATTTGTGCCATGTGCCTTCGTTTCAGAAGCCTTTCCCTGTGGGACCAACTTAATAATCAAAGAATTATTGTTATTATTACAGTTCCAATATTTGGTCCCATCAGTGCAAACACATAGAAAACATGTTACTGACTCTACTGTTTGTGAGATCCTATGCACACATTCTTGTGCAGCTAACAGTTAATATCTCTACTGTTTGTGAGATCCTATGCACATATTGTTGTGCAGCTAACAGTTAATAATAATAATAATAAAACAGAGTTTCAGCCTACATTGAAACGGGCTGTCTATGATCTTCCTCTTGAAGCGGTATAACTCAGCAGCAGGTTTGATGGAGGCCAGGGTCTGCAGGGGCGTCAGAACCCATTCCTCCAGGAGCACCTCCACCAGTCCAGCCTGGGCCCACTTTGATTGGAGGAGTAAAGGCAGCGGCACGGACACGGTCACTGAGCAGTCGCTGAAAAAAAAAACGTAGGACAATGAAACAATGAATCACTGATCTCTGAAGACTGTGTTCGCTGAAGCTTCAAAGTCAACAACAACGTGACATTCGAGAGCATCTCGGAAGACCGGTGGAGTTCCAAAGTAAATTATCAGTCCTATGTCGTTAACCTTTTGAAAGGGTTAGGCTGGGCCATCAGGTCAACGACTTACACATGAGCTCAACAAAACTCAAAGTGTTATTGTTCCTTCTGGCACTAATTAAGCTCATAAAAACGTCAGCTTTCCCGCTTCCTTCATTTCCTTCAAATAAGTTTTTGTCTTTGTTAGTAGTTAAAAAAAGTCTACTCATGCAAATGTCAGCTGTCTCAATTAAGGAAAACAACCTGAACTACATATAGTGTGTCTTGCTTTTTCTTTGCTCTACTACACAACAGTAAATCACAATACATATAATAAAAAACTTCACAAAATACATTGGGTTTCCTACAAGCACTTCAAATGTATTACTGCTCTGATAAGAACAAGCATCATTTTTTGAATTGCTATTTTCATCGTTAAAACACCGCTACCATCACCGTAACGAGTGACTTCTTGTCACTTGACTCTAAGCCATAGGAGGGCGCTGTCTTGGTGAGGGAAGAGGGAGGGGACGAGAGGATCATATAATAAAAGTGTTGATTCTGATAGGTCACATTTCAAGTTAGAAAACCCATGAAACTTCCTGATTTCAGAAGTAACATTAAAGTCATTATTATTATTTAATATTATTAATTATTGTTAACAATGGCGTGTATACACCTGCTAACCATTCACTAGCTTTTGTACGAGGATTTTCTTGTCATCTACTGTTTTGCTATTTACAGGAAAAAAATTACTTAAAATAATTCAAATGTATAAATATATAGGATTTACTTAGGATGGAAATAACTTTTAATCCACACAAAATAAATATGTTTTAAGGTGGAATATTTCCTTTGTCAGAGGTCGTTTCAAACCCGACAGTGGGTCTAACTAACCTTCTTGACAAGTGTATTTCTCGAAGTCCAACCAACCACATCCTGTCACTCATCTCCACCTAATTTACTCTCACCCCAATTACTATCAAATAGATTAAGAAGATTTATTTTTTTGCTCATCGAAGCGGATCCTCCAGCTGATACCTGGCACAGTTTTCACGCCGGATGCCCTCGCTGACACTGAGACTGGTCCTCATTTATCCAGGCTTTGGGGGAAATTGATGAGCGACATGGGATTAGGTGTCTTGCTTCAGCCTGCAGCTGAATTGGAGCCCTGGCCTTTTGGGCAGAAGATGACTTCCCACCCATTGATCTACAGCCGCTCCCATGTCAATAACATATCATGCACAAGACAAGAGTTCAACGTGAACCAGGATTTGATAAGATTTATTCACCCTTACCTCGAAAAAAGCCTCCTCGGCTCGGCCTTGAAATATACGAATCAAAGGTACACGAGACACACGGTACCAGGAGAAAATGGCAACCACGACTACACTTTTTGCTTAAGGTTATTTGGTGGGCGGAGCTTCATAAAATTCTGTTTTTCAGAAGGGGGTTGGTTACCAATCATAACATGGCTTTTTTCTTTTGAGTTCCAATTTTAACGATCGACAGGGTAGGAATATATACTTTGCAGACACAACCGTCAATGAAGAGTACACTGAATCATCACTCAGGGCCGTTTCTGATCGACAGGGTAGGAATATATACTTTGTCCGATGTCCTTGTGCCTAGTTGAGTATCTTATTTGAGCGCAAAAATCTAACATCACATTTTAGGTTTCTTTGAGTTACTGCTGCAACAACTGCATTTTTTGCTTTCCGTTTGAATGTCAGGTTGACTGAGAGCAGATATAATAAGTCAACCAAGCGTCAAGTATAAAAAAAATCTGTAATAAATTACAAAAACGAACATTATTATTTCCCTCCATCCATTAAGACACACATGTCACAATGGTGAACTCATCGACTCTGTTGTGGTTTGTGGTTGCATATATCAAAAAATGTTTCCCCAGTTTGGATTCAAACATGTGACATAACATAAGGAATGCCTCTTCTTTCTGACCCGTTGCAGTCTTGACATGAAAGGGAGGTTGTGCATTATATACTACTCTGACATGAACCATACCTGGGGTTGAATTTGTAGAACGAGGCCAGTTGTTTCCTGACTCCAGACAAAGCCGTGGCCAACCTGGTCTCCATCCACTGGTAGGTTTGCTGTCCCGCCTGATAAATACATGATTATATTAAAAGAAAGAAAAAGAGAAAGACATGAAAATAAATACCAGGTGGTTATTAAAAAAAGACATATTGGAGAAAAAACTAAAATGGTGGATGTCATATTAACCCAAACAAGTCATCTAGAATCTGAATTATCCCTTGTAAGTGAACAAAGACAACTTAAATGCCCCAATCAATCAAAATATCAGATGTCCAGCCCACCCACCATACATCTCCAATATCTGTTTGCTATAGAACAACATGTACGTTTTCCTGAGAGGAGATCAGGAGTGCTGTGAGGTTACAGTGCAGAGGAGTGGAAGTCAGAGTAGCTCCAAAGTAAATTTTAGAATAAAAAGCTAAAATTTCAGGATTCAATTAAATTAATTTAGTATAAGACAAGTTACTGTATGCTGATATTGATTATAGATCTTTAAATATATTCAGCAGGGATGCTCGTAAAAATACAAATGCCTCTGTTTGTTTATAGAGGTCATGCACCTCATTAACTTTGACAGTTTTACACTGGTTACATACAAACTGGCATCAGTTTTATTGTTTGAACATAAAACTGGCTCTGCTGCACTGGCAATAAATTCTTTTAATGATTCTCCTTTCGTGTTGACTAAAATGACCGTGTGTATGTGTAAATAAAGAAACTGGATTTTTCTTTAAGATGTCTGAATGTCTGGCCCAACAGCATACGTTCTTCAGCCCACAATGATGCGCTCACACCTCTCTATCCCATTATTGCTGTCTTTCCCAGCAGAAGGTCACGGACCTTGAACTGCTCATTAAGGCCATTACTTCTATGAGCTGTGTCTGATGGCGCCATCACTTTAAATGAAGCAAGGACTGTGTTGTACTGACCCTGCAGGGGAAGTAATGACCGGGGTGCAAACAGAGTAGGACAGAAACCATGTGTGGACAACACCACAGACAGATCCTAAACTTGTTTGATAGCCCCAAACAAGTGCCATATCTCTGGGGGGTTTTACTGCAATGAATACCTCAATGCTAATGTGGGGAAGCAGGATCATGTGTGATCAGGTTACTGCAGTACACTTACAGTCAACATGAACGCCATTTCATGGTGGTTCTTTGCTCATCCTTCTAAACAATATATTCCAAATTGATTGTCGAACTTGATTTAATATTAATGTGACTCTATAATTTCCCCAGATGATTAATTTTTATCCCAAAATAGTTAAAAAAACAGTCAGAAATTAGCACAAAAAGATAAATGATGTTAAACCAAAGCAGCTGTAAAAATAGATAAAATTGAGCACGCAAAACGCTAAAGCTGCTATTACTGACTTGTATCATACAGTAAATTTCCCCATTTTGGGATGAATAAAGGACTTCTTAATCTTAATGTATACAGCCCTATATTGGCGCAGTGGTGCTCCAGGAAAATGTTTCAAAAATGTTTCAAAATTAGTTGGAACGAAAAGGCTAAATTCACTTCATTCATCCTGCAGTTTAATACAGCAGCAAAGAAGTAGAAACCAGTAGCATAATTGATCAAACTAAATGTTTCTCTCTTTCTCAGATCCACAGCTGCAGCCCTGTTTGGAACAATGATCAGCACAAAGCAGCAGAAGATGTGGGTGAGGGTTCGTGAAACAGAAACATGAAACATTTTCAAGGACACCGAAGTATGACTCACACTAATCCCAACTGACAACTGAGCTACAAAAACAGGAAGAAATACTCAAACGCACTCATCACCAGTCTCTGATATTTCCCGAATCCTTTGTCAGTAAATCTGTTATTTTGTGTCATTATCTTTTGTGGAAGATCTATGACATCATCCAGTACTTATGAAGTCAGCATTGGAGAGGATTTTCTTTTAATGCTTCAACAGCAGGAAATAATTTGGAGAGGGCAAACCGCATCCCTTCATCCCCCCCAAAAGACCATCCAGAGCCCAAGTAATCATTTGTGTTTACAGACGGGTTGCACAGCAAACTGTTCTTCATCAAAACACATTCTACTGAGCCTAGGTCTGTCAACACAGATGGGAGCCCCACATCAAAACACACTTAAACCTAATCACAGAGTCTGAAACCCATTTGCTTTGTTGAAATGATGCAACTAAACTGTATTTATATAAAGGTTACGAATCAATTATATCTTGATTTGAAACACAAAATGTTTATTTAAAATAAAAAATATTATATGTATAGTCAAGGGAAAAAAAACTATAACACAATAAAGTAAATAGTTGCTTATTTATGTATTGATGGGTTAAATATGTGATTCCGTGGGTTTCTTACCAGGTCCAGTGCAGCACTAAAGGCAGGGATGCCGGTCTGAACCAGCTGAGTATTACCCAGCAGGTCACGCAAGACCTCTACAACCCTGTCAGTCCACAGAAGGACAGCCTGTCTCCACAGAGTCTCCAGCTGCTGTCCGTTCACATCCTGGTACACCCCCGCCAACGTTGCAAGAGGTCCTTTCGATGGATGCAAGGAAAGGACAGGGTTATGCTTTTCTCACATCACAGTTAGCTATTGTACAATGTATAATATATGAGAAAGCAGATTCACATGCACACGGATTCACCTGACACTACTTGAGGATACTCACTTCTTAGCTCTTGCTGTCCCACCAATGACGCGTGCTGAAGTAAAAGCAGAAGTTGGGGCAGGCTGTTGGTCAGCAGCTGACGAAGCTGGCTGTTCTGCCACAGAACCAACAAACCTGAGTCTCCAGCGGCGAGGAAAGTCTCCGCTCGCTGGACAACCTGAAGAGATGCAGCACTCAGCTCCTGGAGGACCTCGCTGTCTCTAGACTGCAGGGCATGTGCAGAAGCAGTGAACATTTAGTGTGACGATATTAAATTAAAGTGTTGGACAACGTTTAACGTCCTCAGTTTTGCCCGTTATACCCTTCGTCTGAGTTCAGTGAGAAGATGCTGCAATGTTCCAACTCTTTCTGACATTTTCCTCCATATCCTATTGCTTAGGCTGTGAATCCTGGCCTGTTTTGAAAAAAAAAGATTTTAGGATTTGATATGAGATTTTTTTTTTTTTTTTAATAAAACGTTGGCAACTTTTGTAGTAGTTAAGTCTATACCTCGGCTGCTGTGAGGCTCTCCAAACAGCCACTCACTGTCAGGATCAGCTTCTTATCAGAGGTTACTGCAGACACTTGGCCCAAACTCTTTGATTTACTGCAGTTCTCGCTCGTCTGTACATCTAGCACCAAAGTATGGTTTGTTCCCATGCAGGCCATCACACTGAGGTCTTCACAATGGCCTGGAGCTGGACACAAAGTCATTTGAGGTGTCATTGCAATCGTTTTTTCAGTTGCTTTTATGACTGTTTGATTAAAGTACAACTTACGATGCATATAACCGGCCGCAGTCTTTAAACATCCTCCTTCTAGTGTCCCGTTCAGCCAGATCTTTTCTGAACGGTCTAAGTTGGCCTGCACCTGCAGACCCGCTCCTTGGGGCCAGAAAAGTGCACTGCCCCCGACATCCACACTCCAGTTGCCTATTCTGGACTTTGAGGTAAAAATTTGAAAAGAGTTAAACTTTTTTATTAAAAAAAGAACTTTTTTAATATAATTTCTTTCTTGAATATAGTACTTAAAAATATTAAACAGCAGAGCTTTGCTGAATTTTTTAATATGATCAATGTTATTAGTTGTACTGTACTTGATGAAACATCTAAGCAAAAACAAAAGTAGCATTTTGCAAAGAATACATAAATGATAAATAAAACATCTTCCTGTTGGCTACTCTCCAGGGAGTTCCTCGAGCTGTTTACCTCAGAGTAAAGAGATATATTGGTGCCTTGAAAAAACAAGGAGGAGGAGGAGGAGGAATTCAGTAGGGCGAGGGTGAGGCTGCACTGGTGCGGGCGTCCAACCACCGACAAGTAAGACTGTGTGTAGAACAGCTCCTCTCCTGAGTTTACTCTGTGGGACCCTGACCATAAGAAGGACTAACAGGCAAACACAATAAGGTAGTATGAAATATTTGAGTCATATTTCACCCAGCATGCCAGTATCAGTGTGATGTCTGTCTAGGACAGGGCGAGCAGAAAGGAAATGTTTGTGAACTCACAGGTTGTGGGGGGCAGAGGCCGAGCAACACACTGTGCTCCACACCATTCCTGAGGTTAGTTTGGACCTTAGCCAGCAGTGAGTGTGAAGAACAGGGGGCAGAGGACACTTTGTCCAAGACAATATTCACCTGGAGATCGTGCGTCTCCGGAGGATTTCTCTTGAAATACCACAGAAAACACACACAACACGGCTGTCAGGGAGGTGCTTATGTATCTATAGAGCAAAACAAATCCAAATGATTACCTGGTATTTCAGGCCTTGCGTGATACTCCTGTCGTCCCATCTGAGCTCTGCATTTTGTGAGTATGAGCTCCCCTCCTGACCCACAGACACACAACCTTTACCAGAAGACGCTGCCGTCTGCACATACACAGAGAAACACGTTAAGGAACTGTGCAATCGATCAGGTCAGGCTCAGGAATAGAAAATGAAAAAAAACGCCAACCTGTTGAGACGAGAATAGAACACAGGCCTGCACCGTGTTAGAATTGGTCTGCTGCTGCGTGTCCAGGGACACATTGACAAGAACACTCCCAGCGTCTAATGATACACGTGTCTGCAAATAAAGAAATACAAAATAGTGCATAGAAGAAAAACATTTTGTCTGCTGCTTCAAAAAAAACACCCATAAATAAAATGTACCAACAACTATATTTTATGTTTGTTTTTTTAGTTTCACAAACACAATCAAGGTATTTTTTGTTCACCCCATCGTATTGTAGGCTCGGGAATAATTAATTTTAGCGAGGATCTCAAAGAGAAGTAGAACAAGAGTCCTCTCCTAGGGAGGGCAAAAGGTGAAACACAGCCAACACTAACTGGCACATCACATCAGCATCAAGGACTGGGTGAGAGAGCAAGCTTTTTTTTTCTATCCTGCAGGAAACTGCAGAAATGTGCCATGCAGCAGGAGCCTAAGGCAGTGATTATCACCTGGCGGCATGTGGGCCAGATTGGAAAATAAACATCCAATTATAATGTTAGACAAAACCTTTTTATTTTTATTTAACTTAATCTGAGTGTCCAGCCCTCTGGTGTCTGTCCAGAAAAATTCCACACAAATATACTCGGTGACCCCTGCCCTAAGACCTGCAGTCAAGACAGTGGTTCATGCCACCCACCCTGAAAACAAAAGGCCTGTGACTCCATCTGGCAGAAAGCTGGGGTTCATCTTGGCCAAGAATTTACCCCTAGATGTCTTCCTTGTTCTGCTGTCCTATTATTACGATTTGAGACAGCGATTTACTCCCAACTCCCTCATGACATAACGCAGGACCAACATTTGTACCCTTACATTAGTTGTTCTAACCTTTACCAGTTTAAAAAATGAAACCTAAATTAAATCCAATAAAAAAGGAATAAAATCATAACTGTCTTAAAGTTAGCCAGAAATTTGATTAATGAGAGGCTAAGTAGTTAAATAGAATGAAAAACTACTGCACAAAACTTCTAAGAGATGAATTTGAATAAATCTAGTTAAATATAAATATAGTACTATTTATTGGATTACAAATATGTGTGAGATGTATTTATGCAATACACTCATGGTCACAGCAAAACAAGCACAGATGTTATCAGATTTCATAGAGGAAATTAAAGTTGGATGGAAAAAGACTCACTGAGCTGCTCCAGCCAATTCAACATGATCAGGATGTGAAAGTTTTAGAATCTTGAAAATGTTATGCTTTTCAATCTGTTCAGAACAGGTTGTTTTGGGCTGAAAGATAAACTATGGACCCCCTAGTGTACCTGGTGTTGGCTGTTCTGTTTACTCTGTAAGCTGTGGGACAGTGTGCGCAGAGACAGCTGGCGAAGTGCGACGGTGAACGGCTGCTCCAGCTCCAGCTTGGTCTCATTAATCCCCTCTGATCGACTCCATGAGCTCAACGCTCTGACCTTCAGAGCACAAAGCCACAGTTCATGAAGACAGAAGGCCAGGAGAGAAACCAAACAGATGTTTGCACTTTACATCTAATAAAACCTCTGGGATGTTCCTAAACCAAACAAAGATGTGTTTTCATAAATTAATTAGAACAGCTATAACTCGATAGCCTGTCGAAAGACATTGTTTCTGAGGTATATAAAATGTATTTATGTACAGTATGTGAGTTCAGACCTCACCGCAGGAAGGTAACCCCGATATAAGTCGAGGACCTCTGTATGCTACAGTTACTGAGAAAAGCATGTACAGTGTGGTCTTGTGAGATAATGGGTGATGTTGTGTCAAACAAACTTCTATTTTGAGCCAATTAAAATGCTAAAAACGAGGTAGCATCCTTTCTTAATGTCAACCTTATGGTTTTGTCTTGACACAACAAGGCAACATTTTTGGACCTTTATTGTTCTCATGTGGCCTCAAACTAAAACATATGCCTTTGAAAAAGAACGACTACGTGGACCCCTTTGGTTTTTTGTGTGTGTTTCTGGTCAGGACCTGTTCCTTTTTCCCCAGTCTCATCCATCCCAGTGATAAGCCGTCCAGTCCACCCTGAAGGGAACGCTCCATTGTTGCTTCCAGATGTGTCCAGCGAGGAACGCATTTAATTTGAACTAATAAAAGAGAGAACAAAATACTAAATGTTAACGATCTGTGACTGGTAAAAGTTCAGAATTGTGTGCATCACTGACAGAGTCACCTCGCAGCATCTGTACCTTTGAGTGTCTGGTTACCCATCTCCAGAGCTGGAGGAGCAGAGTAGAGTCCAAACAAACTAAACTCCTGGTTGCCTAACACGGCTTCATGTTGAACTTGGTATCTCCAGTTCGAGGCTTCATACACTGTCTTCACAAGGACGGTCCTTGGGATCAGCTTCAACTGAAGTAAATAATCGTGGCACCTTTTATACGTAGTTTCACGTTTATGTTCAAAATGAAAACATCAACATGAAACATGTTTTTAGTTTTGTTATTTCTTAATGATAAAAAAAGAAGATGGCAACAACTTATACCTGTGAATATGAGTGTTTGAGCTCCAGAGACTGTCTGTATCCACTATCAATGACTGCCAGTTCTCCCAGGCTCCACAACATTCTCCTACCTGACAGCAACTCCAACAAACCTGACACACTGGATTGAGACTGGTTCAGCTGGAGATAGAGAAATACAGTCAAACTTCAAATGGCACCTTGTTGACAGATTCAACGTAAGTTAATTGTATCATTTAAACAAACACTCACAGGTCACATCATTAGGTACATTTCCTTAACTTCATGTCAGTGTTAAGGTTCAAAAAATAAAAAAATAAAGGTCTAACTAGAGCTCTTCTTTTAGTTTTTAATAGTAACAAAGTGCCATCTAGTGGCAGAGTATCACATTGTTCTGTCTTTCACTGAGGTGTTCATGAACAAAGACAAATTATTTGCATAAATTAATTAAAAAAAAAAAATCCAGACCAATTGAGTGAAATTTAATAATTCAGTGGTTGGGAATCGCTGTGGTAGAAGATGAATGAATGACTATACATTTTTCCATAAATAATCATGGCGGTTTTGAAGGCACAACTCTGTACCTGCAACATGCACCAAATATAGTAGCCCGAGTGTAGTTTTTTTTTTAAAAAAAGACGAGAACTAACCTGAGAGCGAAAATTAAGCTGAGATGGCACGTACTCTATCAGCTTGGGGATATTTTGGACAACCTTCACCAACAGGTCTTTGCTGGACAGAAAAGAAATGGTGAGAGTGTCAACCACGAGTGATTAAACGTTTTTAAAGTTTTTACATTTTTCTTGTTAAAATATGCTGACTTTAATTCTTTCCCTGTTAAATACAAAATTATTTTGTTGAATAATACTAATACGTGTTATAGACAATTATATATTTACCTAAACTGAGTAGGTTTCTGTAAGCACTGCTAGTAAAAACAGCAGCAGTGCAATGGTTGGCGCAACACAAATCCCAGTCTGCTCTTGTCTGATTTATCAGCTGTGTTTGATTGTATTGGTGGCCATACGTAGTGTAATACACACTTGGTTAGCACCCCACCTAAATCTGGTAAAGACTCACTAACAGCTCACAGAAAGAAAATGTATCATTGACATTTTATGATTTGGTAAGTTTGAATATACCTATAAGGCCTGTGGTGCCCCTGAATGATGAGTGCTAGTGATGAGCTGAGTTCAGGGTTCAAAGCCATGGAACATCTTAGCTGAGCCTCAGTAAGTCTTCCCCAGGCTTCCAGCTAAGGTCACAGAGACAGTTAGAACAGATCTTCACCATCGTATGACCTTCCATTAGGCAGTAAATGTCATCATCACCTGTAGAGCAGGTTTGCTCTGCCCTTGTACAGTATGCCTCAGTGTAACTCTGGCTTCCTTTGACCCCTGTGCCCTCCAGCCTCCCACATCCCCAATCACTCGTAGTCTCCAGTCTGTGCAGTGAACATCTACTGAGGCGCTGCGTACGGGACCTGCAGAAAACAGGATTTCATCACCACCACTAAATAAATACAATTTGAAAGCATTTCAAGTATTTGGTATTTAGAGCTTAGCATGATGAAAATGGTAACATCTGCTGGTCAATATTTAAAAGTGCACGTGTTCTCAGTGCAACTTCAAATTAAAAAGATGTTTATATTAAAACACACTATGATTTACAGGTTGTGTTAAAACTCCTAACCTTTCAGCTGAGCAACCAGGGCAGTCCCCAGACTGAACTGTTGCCTCGTGTAATTAGAAGACAGTGGAGAGTAGGACAGCTGCAGGGCCAGACGTCCATCACCTGCACTGACATTAAAGCCAGTGGTGAGCAGCTGGTGGCCATCTACGCCAAGCTGAGCCCTGGACTGAAAGTGTGAAAAGGTTCCCTGGTGGGACGTGAGACCCTGGAGAAACAAATGTTAAACAATGACCAGTTAAACCAGACAACAGTGAACAAAATAAACATACTTCTTCAGTTACCTCCACGACGAGTGGTACGCCTCTGCCCTGCAGCCACGATGAGTTGTGCCGCAGGTTTCCGTGGATTTCTCTTGTCATGGCACTACTCTTCATCTTCAGTTTGATTCCTGCCTGCTCTCCTCCAAACTGAGACTGTATGCTGACCGTCTTTTCCTCAGAATTACCAAGCTCTACCTGCCACACAGTCACAGTGATGTTATTGATTCTAAAATGTGGCAATTTTGTCACTGATTATTACTGAGTGAGCTTCCATGAACCTCTTACCTGAACACTGTTGTTTCCAGAGATTCCTAGTTTTTTCAGGTAGTTCACCGTGTGTCTGAGTGCACTCTGCATCCTGAAAGACTGAGACATCTTGGACAATATGATCTCTTGATCAATCTGGAATATATATGAAAATGTTGCTATTAGTACATAATGAATACAGTCATATTATTAATTAAATTGATGGAAACGACTGTAGCCCTTCTTCACTTTTACCCTTTGATTTCCTGCGTTACCACTCCAAACATAAAAGAACGTGCCATTGCCGTGACTCCCAGAATTCATTGCCACGGCTGTATTTGCAGGGATCCCCAGGTTCTTCAATGTAGGAAGTGTGTGGTTTAGATAAAGAGATGCAGTGTAGTTGTCCTGCAATAAGGAAACCAGTTGCAGATTAAAACCAAGACAACCAGAACAGTCAATTTTGCTTGTTCTATTGTCTATTGTGTTAAAAAACTGCATTAAATGTTTGACTGGAAATAACTCAACGTTCAAAGTAGGCATTAATTACTAGGCAAATGTAATGTGATTAAAGTGACTAATATGAGAAGGTATTTGCTATGCTACAAATCACAATACCTTTGTTTTATTAAGAGCCACTGAAGTCTGAAACTCTGAATCATCTATCGCCACAGTCATCTGAGAATTAGCATGAGTTAGTGAGGAGACTAACTGTCCAGAAGCCTGAATCCTTTTTGGACTAAACCGTGCCTACAAAAAAAAAATCCAATAGTCAAACATTGGACACCTGACAATGATTTACATGGAGGAATTTCTTTATACTCTTATCAGTACCTGAACATGTGTGCAGTTGTTGTGATACACTACTGACCCCTGCAGGCCAAACTCTGACACCACAGCTCCACTGGCACTTAAAACACACCCATCGAGGTGAATGGCACCTTCCGTGTTGTATTGTTGGTCGACAGCTCTGCCAGTGACTCTCAGTCTGCTGTGCTCTGGTAAACCTTTAAGAACATGCAGGTTGTGACTGAGTTCGGCCGCCACATGCAGATCACTTAAACATGGCTTCACGTTCAGCCTAAGGAAACCCCTTCTACTCTCCTGCTCCATGTCAATCATGACGGTCCAAGTGTCCTGTGGGCTAAGCCACAGTGACCCATTTAAATGGCCCTAAGGTGAAAAAGGAAACAGTGAACAAGTGAAGTAACATGAAAAAAAAGTTTCTAAGGAAAACCGTTTTGCTGGGAAAAGGTTAGAACAACATACCTCAAACATCGGACACTTTGATTCCAGAGTCCACAGCCTCTCTGTCTTAGTTCCGTCTCCTGTGATTCTCTTGGCTCTAAGTTGACATGTCCCAGCCTTGATGAGCAGTGAACCACCCTGCTCAGGTCCCTTAGGTTGAGTAGCTTCTATCATAATACTCTGAGGTAGACCTTGAGTTCTCAGCTCAGTGAAAGTGTGTGTGAAGATACCATAGAGATGCTGGGCCCTGCAGGACAGTGTTAAGTGCAGGGTGAGGTCATTTTGGTCTACACTCAGAGCGGAGGACACCTTTAGCTCACCAGGTGACACTGAGAGGAGAGCATGAAGAGCCACTGAGACTGGGAGAACTGTGCCCTTTAAAAAAAAGCAAAAAGAAAATCACAATGAAACTCTTCTCAGAATAACTGTACAAAAAAAAAACAAGTTAAAAACCCACCTGTAGAGAAGGACAGTAGTTTGTCACATTGACAGTGTAGGACTCATCACCTTCACGTTCTCTGGTCTCTGCCAATTTACTCCTAAAAGAACATCGGCCCAGGTCAAGGTTCAAATCCAAGCTTGGCAAATGTGTAGTTGATGTATTTAAAGTTAGTGACGCATCGGTGGGAATTCGCAGCTTCTGCAGGGCCAAGATTGAGTGTTGGACCGCTGCGTTTAGACTAAGACCAGCAGGACAGGAAAGGTCCAGGATAACACTTCCTCTTTGTTCCTTGTCAATCAGCAGATGGGTCCTGAGACTGGTGGTGCAGCCCGAGTGAATGATGGACACATTCAGTAAGGTCTGTTCTGGTAGGGCACTCTTTGGGAATAAAAGAGAAATACATGTTTAGGAGCATCTGTGCTATACTAAGTAACAGGAGTATCTTCATGAATCTAACAGCATATGCATAAACATTTTTTATATATCAGCAGAATAATTTGGACTAATATGCAAAATCCATCTGACCAGTTAACTATCAGCAGAATAATTTGGACTAATATGGAAAATCCATCTGACCAGTTAACGAAGTCTCTTTAAAGGCATGTTGGGTGCTATTTCTGTGGTTTACTTTAAATAATTTTATGAATTTTATTTCCTTTTTTATTACCGTTCACACTTAACCTCACTTTAAGAATCTACTTTTTTACCTGTATTCAACTGTAGGTAGATTTACAGTGTTGTAACATTTTTTACAGAAAACCAAAAACAACTTATTGCAGATTATACTACAACAGACAATCAGTATATGGTCAGTATATATACCAGTATTTGTAATGTGTAGGGTAACCACTCAAATATACCAGTATTTGTAATGTGTAGGGTAATCACTCAAATAACAGAAAGGCAAGAGTCATCTCCATGTGGAAGATGTTTCTTTTGCTTTCCCTCTGCTGGGAAACAAGTGTCCTCAACGACATTTACTTGTTTCCATTCTGACCTTCAGGAGACCACATCGCTGTTGAGCCAAAACAATCAGGTCGCTCCTGCTGCCTGCTGCTCCTCCTCCATGTCTTCCTCTTTTGTGTAGCTTTGCCAGAAACAACACTGAGCACACATCGCTTTCCACTTCAAATTTGGCTCTGCTACCCACAGCTGACATGCCAACAGTGAGCACCCTTGGTAAACCAGCAGAGGTCAGGTTTTGCTTAAGTACGGCACTGAAGGAGGGGGATGGCTGCCAGGCAGCAGACATCTCCAACTGAGCATTAGAGTTGTTGACAGAGGCTTGAGCTCTTACATACTGAAGGGTGTCATTTTGTTGACATGATGCCCGCACGTCAACTGTTTTTGGGACGGCAGAGGTTAAGGAGGACCAGTGGTGCTGGAGGGTCAGGTTGACTTCAGCCCTCTGTTTCTTCAGTAGTACAGACAAGAGACACTGCAGCGAGTCTTGCTGGTTTTCTATCTCCAGAGATCCTTTGAGTCCACTTTTCTGAAGTTGTCCGTGCAAACTTAAGGAGGTCTTATGTGGTGCACCACCGTCGGTGTCGCTGACCTGCACCCACACCATTTTCCCCAACCCTGTGCAACGGACAGACATCCACAGACTGGAGCTAACAGAATCCCAAACTACAGTGGCGTCGGTCCAGATGATACATTTTCCTACCCTCATCCGACCTATCACTTCAGCCCTGTGTGTGACACTGTGGACTCCATACTCCAGTAGGCCATGACAACCATACAGCCCGTCTGTCTCTGACCTCAGTCCCAGATTTAAATTTGTTCTCCACAGGCCAAGCAACAATTCAATCCCCAGAGCCCACCTCCTAGGCCCCGGTCTGAGCAAGAGGCGGAGAGCAGTTTTAGCGGGAATGCCCATGTGTTTACGCAGTAGCACAGAGGAATGACTGACATTAGCACTGAACTCCCTCTGACCATTGGAGCTGAAACAGGCTTTAATTTGAGCGTTCAGGCTACACTGAGTGAAGGACAGGCCATAACAGAGTCTGTTGTGTGGTCTATAGGAGCGAAATGTTTGTACCTCCACGGGTTGACCTTCCACATGTCCAAAGCACTGGGCTGAGAGTCGCTCTGCAGTGGTATCACCCGTGCAGTTCATCTGTGAAAACAACCCGTGTAGTTCATCTGTAAAAAAGTTTGTTTTTAAGGAGCAGAAACTAAAGGGCGAGATAACAGAGTAGCTGAGGAATTAAAACACTGTGGGTCACTGACAGGGCAGTCAGGCCTTAGCATCTATATTATTATATTATTATTCATTTATTATTATTCATTTATTGTTTGGACCATATCGTTTTCTGGTAATGCAGTCCAGCTATTAAAAACCAAAAATATAGGAACACACAGTAAAATAACAAATGGGCTTAAAATGAAAAAAAAAAAAAATTACAATATGAAAAAGGTATAAAGATAGATACAAAAAAGTAATTACATAAACCATTTTGCATAGCATTTGTAATGATATTTCACTGATATTAGGAGGGAATTTTTAATTGTCAGATTTGTATGGCAATATGCAAAAAAAAAAAATAGAATTGTACCTGTAAAGATGAGGGCATAAGGCCTTGGAGAAGTTTGATCTGCTGCCACAAAGACACCGACATCACTGCAGTGATGTTTCTAGATCCAATATTAAAAGTAATATTGGCCATTTTCTTATCATCCACATGCACCACCAAACCAGTATCTAGCCCCTCTCTTTCCAGCTGAAACAGAAAGTTAAAAAAATAATGTTAATTAACTGAGGGTTTAAAATGAAATGGAATGCTAAACTTTGTTACCTGGTAGTGTGCTTTAGCCTGTATGGATCTTAAAAGCCCTCTCCTCTGCAGGGCTTCGACCTGATGCTGCAGCAAACATGAGTATTCCCACTGTGGAAAAACACGATCCGTCTTGCTTCCATTTAGTTTAGCTTTTAGATACTCAGGTCCAGCCTGCACTTCTGCCTGAAGTGATAGCTGATGACTATCCTGAATCCACTTGGCCAGGCCGGTAATGTTTGCAGGGAGGCCTGTATTCAGGAAACAAATACACTGAAGGAAATGATAAATAAAAATATAAGATAATGTCAGTTTTAGACATGTTTACCTGTGAGGTTAAGGTGGCGGAAAGAGCGAGAGAGATGGCTGTAGAGCTCACCCCTTCCTGGGTTCCCCAGTCGACGACTCACATTTACAAACAGATGTTCCTTTTGTGAATGAACGTAGAGCCAAACATGGGCCCTACATGACTTCCCTCCAAACACGTCTTCTTCGACATCCCTGTCTGAATCCAGTGCAGGATCTTCCTGATGTCCCAGCTCTATACTGTACAGATTGTCCCTCACACTAACTTTCAGCTTTCCTGCAACACAGACACACGAGAAGGATTGTTTGGGAATATTAATGATATGGGAAGCTAGGGGCGCAGATGGGATTTTTGAACTGGGGGGAAACAAGCTGTCAGCAAGTCCACAGTGTCAGGGGAGGACACATGATTTTTTATTATTCAAATTTTGTTCATATAATTTCCGATACCTTCGATGAGCGTGTCAGACTGTTCAAGTGCCCCTTCTAACTTTGAGGAAGACGGGAAAATGGAGAGACTAGACATGGAGTTCCTCAAGTCTCCTGACACGGAGAGCTTTTCACCTCGACCGATACTTGACGTTCCTTTAATTTGGAGCAGGAGAAGCTCACCCCCCTGAGTATATGATCCATGTAAAAACATGCTGGAAAAGCACAAAAAAGCATAAATTTGATTAGAAATAACCTTGATGCACCCATAACACAGCACCAAAGCTAATGTGAGTGTACACACACCTGTCTGAAGACATGTTGGCAGCCATGTTTATATGCAGGTCAGTGGTTGCTGGCAACAAACTTTGGGATAAGTTCATCCTCAACTCTACAGCTTTGTGATCGCCTTTTTTAAAAGAGTGGTTCACCTTTGCGTCCAGCTTCACTTTGTTTTTCCCATCTGCCTTTACATGCACTGAGCCACATCCACTCCCTTTGTCAGCAGTGGCCTTTACCTTAATGTGAAAAAAAGGTCATTAGAGAGCACCTAGAAATAAGGGTTTGAATGAAGAACTTGAAAAAAAGAACTGACTTGATCATTAGGAGCATAATCATACCTCTACAGTTTTGGGAATCTTTGATTTAAAAGGATGGCTCAGAGAAGAATACAGCCCCAGTCTGTCTGATGTCCCATTGAGCTGAACAGAGAGCTGGAAAATAAAGAGACACAATAAAACATCTCTCGAGCACTGCTGATTGAAGATGTAAATATTAAAATGGTAGTGAAGCTTCACTCACTTTACACTGCTGACGCTCTATAGCTAGCCTCCCTCTGGCCTGATAATCAAAGTCTGTGTTGTTCTCTGGGCCCCAACACACTTCATTCTCCAGTGCGGCAGAGGTGGGGAGGTGCAGCTGTGACAGCAACGACAGTCACGCTGAGCACACATTTGACCTCTTTACTGCAAACTTTATTGCTCACTGTTGCAGATGGACATGCGTCACTTAGTATACACATCAGATGCATTGTTGCAAAGGGTGGTTTACCTGCAGTTGATGTGAAAAGTTGGCTTTGATGTTCATAATTTGGCGACCTAAATGAACATGTCCATAAAAAGAAAGTCTGTCTTTGCTGCCGACTCGTAATCTGCCATGTACATTCTTCTGGGTCTGAAAATAAACGCACCATATCGGAGAATTTGTTGTAATTGTACAGTACATGTACAGTACTTATATTGTATTGAAGCTAATGTGAGCAAGAGAGAATGTCATTAAGAACATGTAAAGGCCAACACTACTGTACAGTAAATTACGTTTAGGGGTCTGTTAAAGGTCAGATTCGTTTGGTATTCTTCTTATGAAGCCAATCATAGCTGTCGATGCCCTAATGACGTCACTGTACACTGTACAACTTGTCTGTTGCTAGGTGCCTAGTTGGCTAACTAGGTCATTCTCTTACTGACGACGGGTTAGTAACGAATTACCAGGGAAAGTAGATATTGCTATATTGCAATAACGATTAAATTAATCAAACATTCACACCTGGCCCGCTTTCATCGTCAACAGTGACAACAACGGTGTTTTGTAGAAAGTGCCGTCGAAAGATAATTCATTACATAACAGTTACTCACAACGGACGCGGACAACAATTTCGCTCCGGGACATAATGTACACTTCACATGTTCATTCTTGCCTTTTACCAAAGGGAGACTGAAGTACTGTCTGTATTGTCCGTTTTTAAAACGCCAGTTTTCTCTCCAGACTCGCCATTTCGATCGTTTAACTCTACTAAGGGCGGGTGTGTCTGATTAGTTTACCGCGAAACCGTAGCCAATCATCAACAAGTATGCGGTAGTCGCGGTCCGTTCTCCTACCATACGCACATAAAAAGCGCCCTCCTGTGGCTGAAAGTGACAGCTTCAATGAGTTTGTCGATAACGGTGTTGGAACGATGATAATAGTAATTAACCATTAATAGTAATTATTAATTAGCTGTAACTGAAAAAAAAATAACCTCGCTAGTAACGCCGCATTTAAATGTTGAGTGTAAATTTAAATCTCAAATAATTTTAAAACATACTCAGATTTCTTGGCTCCAGAATCTCATGATCTTATGATTTTGACAGAGAGGAATTTAATGGGTAACCAGTTTACCTGGTTGCTAGTTATGGTCACACAAGCTTCTGAGTTGGATGGAATGATGTCATCACTGAAAGGATGGAGCAGTGCAGAGCACACCTGACACAGAGGGGAAACGTGAATATGATTAGATATATGAGCAAGCAGCTTTATACAACACACACGGAGTCTATTAATCAGCCTTACAAAAGGGCTCGGTCTGCGGTGGCCCACAGTGAAGGTATGGACGAGCTCTTTGTCGCCAGGAAGGCTGATCTTGGATTCCAGGATGTAGAGGCCTTTGAGGTGGTCAGCAGTGTAGGTTTCTCTGACAAGGAGAGTTTGAATGAAAGCCTGGAAGGGATGTCTGGGAGAGATGGCGACAGTTATTTTACAAGAGAGTATCATTATCATCCTGGAATATATCAACAGACGAGTGCAGACCTGAGATAAAGAACTACTGTTTTCTGATGCATCCTCTTGTCCTTCCTCAGCTCCTCCAGCGCGCCCTCAAACTCCAGCTCGGTGGATGAACCCTTCGGCCTCGAGAACGTCAACTTTACTGAGGCCTGTCTCTTTTTCAACCTCTTGAACGGCAAAACAAGACCATCATATGTGAGAAAATGTTGCCATACAAACATACAATTAATATAACACGCAGGGTTACGACAGTTTACCCTAAATTTGTAAAATAGCAGATTTGAAAATATATGACTGTAATTCAAGATTTATTTATAGAATAACAATTCGGTTCAGAGTTTGGCAACTGTGAAAACAATTGTGCCCCCACCTTGTCTACATTGTTCAGCAGAGCTGCAAGGCTAATGTTGTGTTTGGCAAAGGAGGAGGACATCTGCAGGGACTGACTGAGTTTAGTGGTCTCCAGAGACACATCCCCTCTCAGGGGAGGGATCCACAAAGAGTTCAGTGAGCAGGAGGCCTTGAGTTTCCGCTTCACCACCACACCCCAACCTTCTGCCTGTGGAGGATTGTTGGGAAAATATTAAGAGATAATAATACATTTCCTTAAATTTCCTGCTTTAAATACTAAAACCTTAAGCTGAGATTGTCCAGAAGAAGACATCTATTCTTTACTTACATGTATGTAAGTGACAGCTGGCGTGTAGAGCTGCAGACGGGCCTCCCTCTCTCTGCCTCTGTCCCTGTAAAAGCCCTCCAGGATGAGGTTACGGACGTTCAGCCACTTGCTGGCTGTCATCTCTAACGTGAGCTGGAGTGTGTGGCGTTGGAGATGACTCAGACTGTGGGCAGTGTAAAGGTACAGCCACGGTGTGTCCATGTTGAATGAGCCTGAAGCAGACAAAAGGAATGATTAAGTGACTGTCGGTTTCACACTCAAAAAAAAAGAAAAAAAAAGAAGGCTTCTCAGGTGTCGGGAGTGTCCAACGTGTCAGGAAAGTGTAGTGAAGTAAGCGACAGATGCACTGGATTTTAACAGATTTATTTATGACATACAAGGACTTCTGTTCCATGAAGGGATTTTGTGTCAAGACACAAAGGGTTGGGGTAATTTCTGTTACATGATGTTAAAGCTTTTTTTAGCATTTGAAGTCAGGCAACACAAATGCCCAAACCCATTGAAGAAGGTAGAGTCAAATAATTTGGTCAAAGTTAGCCAACAAAAAACTGTGCCTAAAGGCTTAACCTTTATGAAATGTATTTTTCTCTATTTATTTTTATCTAGCTAATGTGATCGCCAAAAACAATAAAAATAGAATGAAACATTATAGTAAGTAGTTTTTTAGGAATATTTGTAAAGATTTGTAAAAACACAGCCATGCAAATTAGAGGAAGGAAGACAATGCATGAAAATAAACAAAAAGAGGTCAATACAGTATAGCTAAAAGCTTGTCAACGAAAACAAATATAGCCATAAAACAGTACTGGACAAAGCTGTTTTTAAAAAGAAACTAATTTAAAGTTATATGGCTATTAATTGGACAGGGCATTTATAAACGTTGTCTTAAACATACGACTGTCTTTACGCTGTAGATTTATTCACCTTCCCATTTCTTCTGCACAGCATCTTGGGGAGGACTCTTCCACTGTAATCCAGCCACCAGTGGCATTAGGTTGTTGTAGTTGATTTTTAAGTGGGTGCTGCTCTCAGAGCCAACGTGACTCAGGTGCGTGTGCATGAGCTGGGTCCTGTAGTTCAAATTCTTCTGTGGTACTTTAAAGTTGAACTGCAATGAAAGAAACCTTACTGTAAAAAACCAGAGGCATGAGGCATTAATCATTCATAATTACTGTTAATAACAGAGGTTTTTACCTCCAGTATGTAGTTTGTGTGATTGTGCATGGACTGGTTTCTGAAGGACTGGCTCAGAAAGACGGTGCGTTTGTTGTTGATCTCGTCCCAGTGTTTGCCGTAGCTCAGGTGCAACACTGAATTAATGTGACTGGAGCTCTTCTCGTGTCTGAAGTGAACCTACGGAGAACAACAGAGTCTGAGAAAAAACAACAACGCTGTTTCGTGGTTGGGGCTTTTTTGTGTGTGCAGTTACTTTGTGGTTGAGAGGAAGTGTGTTGGAGCAATAGAATTCATGATCTGCTCTGATTATATAGGTTTGGTTTAAGTTCCTCTCACTCTTCAGTCTCTGAGAGGAAAAGCACTCCTGGTACAGGTGTCGGGCGTCACCTGAAGAAGAAGATATTATCATGATTAAACGTTACAACGTTAACATGGAAACAATACACTAGACTCCTGGTTGCAGTAGCAACATTGAATATACAGTAGAGCTGTAAACAGAGGCAAATTCTTCCTGCGTGTGTAACGTCAGTAAACATTCTTCTGACAACCACATCCTCTTCACCAAAAGTCTTTTTGTACAGTGGTGTTGTGAATTATAATCACATGTGGACAGACAGAGTGGAAAGTCCTTATTAACGAAGGCTTAGTGTCTCTCCTTGTAATCAACTAGATCACAAGAACATCCACCAGGTGTTCTATAATTTTTTTCCTTAGGCTTTGGATGTTTAGAAACACAAAAACAAACTCAGAGTCTGTTTGTGTTTGTTGTGCGTAGCCAGTTTGTCTTTGTCAGTTGGCTTTACCTCCGAGGCCATACTTGAGCCTCAGTGCGGAGCTCCACACTGAGCCCTTCTGCTCCATCAGTCCAAGCATCCTGCTGCCAACGACCTCAGGTAAGAGCAGCTCCACCTCCACGGAGTACTGTCTGCCGCTGCTATCCCGCCTGCGCTCCAGGGAGACTGAAGACAAATATTTCCAGTTCACTTGTGTCACATACGGATTCGTTACTGTCACGCTAAATATTCAGTGTTTAAAATAGGCACCCGAGAGAGACGCAGTTTCTCGGAACACGTTCTTCAAAGTGGCGGACAGACTCATCTTGCGGCCCAGTCCACGTGTGACATTAGCAGAGAGGATGATGGGAAGTCCATCGACAGCCGTCTTGGCCTCGAGATGGTAGCGTGTCCTCTGCTCTGACAATAGGGTCTTAGTGTCCACCAATCCCTGCAGTGCACAACAACAAAAATAAAGACAAAAAAATAATCAACACACAGTGAAGTAAAAACGTCACCGGATTTGATGAAAACACCAGTCGATGATCTACCCGGATATAAAAGTGGACACCATCGACCACCAGCTCCAGGTTTCCTGACTTTGTGTTCCTTTCTTGTTCAAGGTGTCCTGAAAGAAAGAGAAAAGGATGTCGGGGTTTTTTTGCAATTATTTTGCAATTCCAAAATGTAGTACTTGGTTTCAGGGGTTGCCGTGGGACAAACCTTGTACGTGGATGGTTTTCAGAGGACTAGAGATCCTCAGCAGAAACCTGCTGGGGTTAAAGGCCAAGTCCAGGGACATGTCTCTGGAGATGGAGGACTGAGGAGTGGCCAGGAGGAGGTGGATGGAGGCCTCTCTGGGAAACCAGAAACCTCTCTGCTCAGGTTTGAAAGGGCGGAGATTAAAAAGCATTATTATGTTTTTTGTGTTTTTTTTTTTTGCATAATAACTCTTACAGTACCTGAGGCAGCAGTGAGTAGGCTGCCTCCAGAAGGTAATAATGAAGTCCTCTGTCCAGCTTCAGCAGTCTGACGGAGAGATGAATGGGCCCAGCAGTAGGGAGTAGGATTCCAGCTGAGGGTGATGGATAGGATGCGTTGGAGCACAGCTGCCAGCCGACAACCTTAGACCCTGAGGAAAAATGCAGATCAGTGTTAAGTGAAGATTACAATTGTTAAAACAGCACTTTGTGTAAAGTCTTACAGGTCTTGGAAGTGCAGGTGGTCTTCTGCAGTCGACTCTTCGGCCCCTTTATCTCCTCTCTGTGGTCTCCACTCAGCTGAAAAACTCTAGAGCTAGTACACACAGAAGGGCACACCAGAGGATGTGTTGTGTTGGTGAACATTCGACATTGTGAATTTTGACCCTAACTGCAGGAGAGTCAAAAACCTTAGAGAAAATATGTCCATAACGTCCTCAGGTGTGTTCAGCATGATCCTGACGTCCCGTCCCTCCTCCAGTTGGACACTGCCATCCAGACTGGTAGAGCTCTTCAGCTCAGAGACCCAGTCCACAGCAGCCTGTCCGGGGACGCCGTCCACGCCCATCCTGACTGACAGCCCCACGTAGGCGCTGGGAAACGGAGAACATTTAGATGTTGATTGTAGCAACAACTTTGAAGCCCGTGTTGTTGGTGGTGATGAGGAAATACCTGGGTTTGATGTGTCCTGATAGGGAGAAATGAGACACGTCCCTGTAGTTGACGTTTCCCTTCAAGCGCAGCGAAATCAGGGAGGTCATGTTGATGCCCAGCTTCACGGGTAAACCTGACAGGGAAGGCAGGAGCAGCTCCTCCGTCATCGGCACGGTCCTGTGGTTCAACTCCACCTCGTGACCCTTGAGCAGTTTGACCGCCAGTCCCGCTAAACTCAGCGAAATCTGGTTGATCTGGTCGTGGAGATCTTCACACGTGAAGATGGCGATTTCATTTCCGAACATCTTCACACCAATCCGACATTTTGGCCGTTCCTTCTCGATCCTCCTTCTCCCAAACAACTGAAACAGTTACAGTCGCTATTAACCACAGGCGCTCCAAATGAATCGCAAAACTTTCCCATCATCACTGCACAGTACTTTATGTTAATGTGAGGTGAAAGTGCCCCAGTTGTTTGCTCTGTTATGATAAGTGCAGACAGAAGAGTACTGTTGCTTATTAATTAGTGTGACAGAATGAGCCCTTCTAATCACATGATCTCCTCTAATCTCTGTTTAAGACCTCTGATAACTCTATAACTATGTCATCATTTCCAGAAATCTTTGTTTATGTTGTGCCTTAACATCATAAAAGAACGAAAACAACCATGGGATAAAGCAGACAGCCAGACAGGTGGTTTCCACGGCAGGTTAACCCCGGCAGATAGAACACTAATTCAGTGTGAAAAAGGCAAAAAGCCTGAATGTACTCAGGGGGATCAAAGATAAGCTGCCCTGAGATCTAATCTGAACAGCGTACTGGAACTTCCTCAGTGTTTCTATAACTGTACTCACACTTGTTTAGGACCAGATAACTGTACTGAGTAAAAGTCTAAAGTCTTAACTGCTGCTTGTATACTCGGGTTGCAGAGTAAAACCCTCTTCTCATGCTGTGCAACAGTACGGCTCTTTGTTTGTTCATAAACCACATGACCAGGATTACATGTTACACACCAAGCTATAACTACTGCTCTGAGATAAGACCCCAGAAGAGCTGAGTGTCTTACAACTATCAAAGTGACCTTACCCTGGCCCTGGCCTGCTGCAGATAACTGCTGCTGCTGCTGCTGCTGCTGCTGCTGGATAAACACTTGTCTTTTTCTTCTCTGGAGCCGTCATCTGTTTCTCTTCTTGCCCTGTGTGTTTCATGGTTGTCATTGTTTGCACTGGCCTCTCCATCAGGGTGTGACCGCCGGCCAAAAATATTCTTCAAAAGTGGCTCAGCGTTTTCTACATGAAGATCTACCTAGATTGGGAAACACAGCACATGCGTTCATCATTTGAGTTTTTTAATTTTAATTTTATTATTAATGAAAATGAATTAACACCACCAGTTGCGCATCCACAGTTTTTTTTTTAATTTAAAATTTTGGGCATAACAATGTGATTAAAATAAATCAAAGCAAACCCTGCAATTAACCATGATTCAAATATATATAAATCATTGCCAGGCACTAATGTGAACTGATTAAAAATTATATGTAAAACATACTTCTATTAGGTTGTGGGCACGACCGTGGAAATACACCGTGAGGTTGGCAGAGGCGGATCTTGGTATAAATGACTTTGGGGAGAAAATCAAAGATGTTTCCAAATTGGTGATTCCAATTCCTGCAGAAAACAAGGATAGAGGAATGGTGTCTTCTTAAAAACAGCAACATCTTTATAGGAAATATTCTTTGTTTTTGTTCCCAAACAAAAACTGCTGACTTTTAACCTTTAAGTCTTTTTTCACCTGATGCAGTGGTGTGATCTGAAAACGAAGAGTATTTTAGAAATTCGGCATCAAAGTCTCTGCTTATTATGTCATCAGGGATGGATTCGATGAGGTGCTGCTTCGAGGGGTCCTCGCTCCGCAGGATATTTGTCAGGTGACTCCAAACAAATGAGCCCACTGGAAAACAAAAAGGTGGGAAAAAAATCAGAAAAATATGAAACTTTTCTTTTTTGCCGACTGAGCAGTTCCTGAGCAGTTCCTGAGCAGATATGTAATATCTGTAATATTGTGTCTTAGCATGGGCAACATTTTTTCTTATCTTTCTTAGTATTCCAAACTAACCTTTGTCAGCCTTGACCATTGTCTGTTCATTTACTTCTCAGAAGATAAGAGAAGATAATCTAAGATAAATAGTAAGGGACGATAAAATTCAATTTTTTCCATACGTCCAAATAGGCATTAGACAAAGTTAAATCATAGGTAAACAAATCAAGTAATTAGCAATTAACTACGATAAAATTCAATTTTTTCCATACGTTAAATCATAGGTAAACAAAGAAAGATAGCAGGTATCAAATTAGCTTGATGTATTTTTTTAAAATTCGAAATATCAAAATATTTTAATTAATACAATTAATAAACAAAGCTAAACGCAAACCAAATATATAGAAAAATTAGAGTACAAAGACATTATGCAGGTGCTAAAAAGCCTAGACTAAAAACACATTAAGATGTAAATCAGACCTTGGCTGGATGTTTCCTTTTTCAGTGTGTTCTTCACTACTTCAAACAGGTTCTGTTCAGGGCAGAGCATGAGCTGCTGGTATGCGGCGATTCTGACCTCGGGATCCTCGTGGGAAGAGCCGTACAGCTGCAACAGCACGGACCTCTGTGGAAGGACGACTTCTGTCAGTCACTGGGGTCAGACTCACCCTCACCTCTACACTTCCAGCCACGGTGAATCAATTGCTACGTCATTTACACATGTAGTCTGGACGATCGACGCCAACATGGCGGTGATCTACTTGACATTGGTTTGTTATTGCATTAAGGATCCAAAACAAGTCGCTGCAGGATTTAACTCACGTCAGCTGAGCAGGGAAAACGTCTGAAGGCTTGGACGGCAGCTACTCTCAGCTCCAGGGTTGTCGAGGGGCCGAGTACGCAGCGCTCCAGCAGAGGGGTAAAGGTCGAGGCAGACAGGCCGGTGTTTCCCAAGGATTTCAGTACGTAGAAGATGAATGTTTTGGAGATCTTCATGTCCCTCACGTAGGAACGATTGTTTCCCTCGCAGCCTTGCTTCAGAGCATCCTCTAATATCTGCATAAAGGTTTGCACTGCAGGAAGTTCACCACAGGTGCCGTGGGACTTCTGGCAAAGCTGGTAGACTAAAGATGATCCGGTCAAGAAGGCTTTGAACCTCAACTCCGGGACCTCCAGTAAAGCCTAGATGAAACCGACGCAGAGCAGTAACGTTAGACTCAGCAAACCCCGCTTCACCTCTTAGTTAACGTGAGTGTTCGTTAACGAAACCCAGCGGGCCTCACGTTGATGGAGTCGATGATCCCTGCAGATGGATGAGGGATCAGAGAGACGGTGGTGAGAAAGGAATGAGCCTTGTCGTGCTCCATCTCCTTGCGTCTCATCAGATCAGTCAGGAGGACGACGCAGTTTTCAGATCCACACACCGGTAATGCCTCCAACAAAGGCTGCCTGTCCGAACCGAACATTAAAACCTGAGTTAATTTTAGACTGACTTATTTTACAGTCATCATCTATTGAAGCAAAGCCGTAGCTCCA